ATAAACAGAAAAATAAAATGCATAAGTGAATAATTCCCAACAGACCCTTTGCCCCATAGATTTAACCAAATAGTAATGCTAATTCCTTCTACGCTGGCTCAAAGAAATCCTTAGTATTTTAAAGAAAATTTTTATTTGGTATTTTATTTGCCGATGAACACATCTCTCTATTCATTTCGTGTGGAATAATTTCTCTTCTTTTATTGCAATAAAGTTGCAGAAGAGTAAGTACTAAAATATTTATAGATTTATATGTTATTAATATTCACTAAATTTATATTTGTAGAGTATTTTATTAATATTTGTAATTTTGATTTTTTGTCATTATAATTTTTTTTAAATTTATTCTACTCTTTATTAGCAGTCTTAATATCAGTTAAAAATGCTGCTAAAATCTTCCTACAACAGCACTCATACATCTGCTGTTAAAGCCTTTCCAACGAATACAAGTACATATGATTTACACGAATTTCTAAACTGATGCAAATAAATTAGTACTTGTTTAAGCAGCTGCAGCAGGTCCTAAAAAGTATTGCGAAAGTCTAATTTATTAATAGTGCTGGGGTATTATTTGATCAATTAACATAAGTTTACGTACATATTATATACAAAAATTTCATATTCTAAATTTTTTAATTGATAAAACTCTTAACCAATAGAACAAGATGAGCTGCATAATAATTTTTCATAGCTTGACCCAATGCAAGCATTAATTGATCAGTGGGCCTCATTCAATCTCTGGCTTCAAATATTCTAAATAAGAGATTTTTAATGGTATATTTCAGTAATTAATCACCGTTTCCAAAAAGATAATACAGATTACTGAGCGCAAGCAAGCAACGTGCGCTCGCAAAACAAGGAAATTTTTTAAGGGTGAAGCTCATACAGTTTTTTTTTTTTTGAAGTTATTATTCAATCCCCATGTCGTCATTCATTAATTTTATTTGTCCAAATGAATCAGCACCGAACACAAACAAGCTATAAATTCTTTGAACTTTAGCTAAAAATCTTCTCTCAAAAGCTCCATCTTTTTCATCCAATGCCATCTGGCCTCCATAAACAGCTAGCAAGTTCTTTTTTTGTTAAAAAAAAACTGAGTATCAAAACGCAAATTTGAAAGCAGATTGCAGATTTTTGGCAGGAAAAATCTCACAAACTGACAAAGTATATCACATTTGATCTCTCAAATGAGCCTTGCAGCTGTATCTTAGGAGGCATTCCCAGCTGTATCATATTAACATTGAAGCCTTGGCCCACCTTCCCTGTCGCCTCAAATAGCATTAACTTATCATTACTTGCTCTTCTAATTCTTCTGTCCCCTATAGCTGTTTAACTGTTTCAGTAATGGAGAATTTTACTACATTCAAAGTGATCAGATTGAAAATTTTTCATTTACGTATATATAACATACATAGAGATAGGTAAGCACATAATCGTGTACCAATGTGTTCCATAATACAAAAATGTGCGTTGCATCCCATTGTTCTCAAAATTGAGTTTTACTTAGAGGACGCCTTGTAAATTCTTTTATTCTATCTTAAAAATTTTGTTGGCATCTAATCTCGATCTTATTCATGCCGGTGCAAACACTCATTGCTTCCTGTCGGATGACCGCCTGCTGCTTGGACAATGTTGGCCCTGCCAACTAAGATTCTCTGAATGTCCGTCAATAGGTTCGCTATAGGGAAATAATTGTTTACCGGCGAAATTTCCGACGGACCTGTAAAAGCAGCGACTAAATTGGTGTAAATTACACCAGAAAATAAGCAGTAGAATTTTCGGCGCGAAAACCGCCAAAATATTTGAAACCGGCGTGAAATATCGGTGAAAAACACGCCTAAGATTACCGGCGTAATTTTCGAAGGAATGTCCGCTGGCTTACTTAGACACGACAAACGTATACGATAGAATTTATGCATGAAAATTAATTGGTGAATAATCCATTGGAAATAATGTCGTAAAGAGCCCTATTTCCCTTTTCGCGGCGACAACCATCTCATTTCATTCATTTTCCTCTCGCACTCGCCTCCAATGCCTCAATCGTCTTCGTCGCCTCTGTACGCCTCCATCGCCGACGTGCCTCCATCAACAACTTACCACTCCGTTGCTAACGCCTACGTCATTCACGCCTCTTTCGAACACGCCTCGATCTCTAGTACCAACGTTCTCCACCAACACCTCCGTCAATCCTCTGTTGTTAGTCACAAACCAAGTTTTCTTTATTTATGGATGTTCTCATTAGAAAATTGGAATGGTGGGATTGTGATATTGGGTGACAAGTCATTAGAATGAGTGAATGTTTTAGATTTTTCAAGTTTATTGTTCAAAATGATGGTAAAAATGATATAAATATTATAAGTATAATCCAAGTTGGATGGTTGACGCAGAGGAATGCATCGCGCCTATTTCTCCGCCGAAAACGTGATTTTACTAGCGGATTTATATGGTCACCGGTGAATTTTATCTGTCTGTAACAGACGATTTTCCTTGATTTGTCAAACTTTAAGTTGGTTCAGCACTTACAAGTGCGCATGAGTACACAACAGTGTGCTCTCGCTGCCCATACTCTCTCCACCTATATCGTCCGCACCTAGCAATTTCTCTAAAGGACATAGGTTAAAAATCATGCATTTGAGAACTTTTTGACTCAGCAAACCGTATGAGAAATAGGAAAAGCAGGAATCCACCGCCTACTGCCCACTTTCCTCACCGCACTTATTACACCACCATAAGCATACAAATACACGTTGATTAGCCATTCAGTTCTACTTTGAACTGAATAACGAGAAGTAATATGGAACTCTCTAACAGAAAGCAGAAGCTGTTAGAGCTTTTGGGTATGGTGGCTATTTCTTACATAGTTTCTGCTCGTTCAGTGCGCCACGGGCTCGCACCGCCGATCACGACGAAGCTGACAGAGCTTTTCCCACGCTTTGGATTTGAGGACAAGTTCTTGGATTTTTATGGAGGGAAGAATGTGCAGAAGGTGAATAATGGCAGTGCTGTAAATCTCGTGCTTGATAAGTCTTCAGGTTTGTGACTGATTTTTCGCATATTTCGATATTGTTTTGAATGAGAATTTTATTGAGTATTTTGATGGTTTCTGAATAGGATCCGGGTTCAGTTCCAAGGACACATTTTATCATGGTTTTTTCAGTGCTGCTATCAAGCTTCCTTCTGGTTTCTCAGCTGGGGTAGTGGTGGCTTTCTATGTGAGCTCTCTCTCTCTCTCTCTTTTTCGGAATATTATTGGGTCAGGTCACCTAACACAGCTTTACATTTGGTATTTACAGTATTGAGCTCGGTACTGTGAAGTACGGAGCTCGGTACTGTGAAGTACGGAGCTCGGTACTGTGAAGTACTGAGTACCGAGCAGTACTGAGCTACCAAGTTTGGTACTTTTTAAGTAGCTCAGTACCGAGTAGGAGGTGATGCGGAGCATTTTCATTGGGCTCCGAACACGTTCGGTGACCTGACCCAATAATTTCCCCCCTCTCTCTCTCAATGATAAAAAAAAAATTATATTAAGAAAAATAAATAGTTAATTAAAACTAAGAGATATTTAAGTAAAAATAGTAACATAATTTTGTGTTCTAAGAAAATTTAAATATTTATCTTAAAAATTTTACATAGTAATGTTTTTGAAATACAGAAAGTTTAAATTTTTTTAGTACTTTATATTTATAAAACTAATTAACACTCAATTATGTATCTTCATTTCTATCACCATCCTTTAAATCTCAAAGAGTTTAATAAAGTTTAAACATATTTCCATTTTTATTTGAAATTAAATAAATTGGGGTCTATTTGGTACGACTTTATTGTTTTGTAAAAGTGATTGTAAAAATGTCGAGAGAAAAATATTTTTTTAAAGCTATTTTTAATATATATATATATATATATATATATATATATTAAATTGAGCATTTGTTTTCTTAAAATAATCTCCTATTAACAATTTTGGTTGTAAAAAAGTAGCTTTCCATCATAATTTTTTGTAGAAATAAGTGAAAAAGCAATAGCTAAATAGGACCATGATTGCAATTTGAAAAATAAAATAATGAGAAATCAATCTGAAATAGACTTTTAGGTTGTCTTTTGCTGCTTTCTGAGGTAACTTTTTAGTACACAAAAATATTTATACCGAAAAATTTTGTCTTAATAAGCTACTTCAGAAAACATTAAGAAAGTATTTCCAAATGAAGCCTCAGACCTCGTTTGGGACGGCTTTCTTATTGCTTTTTAAAACAATTTTTTAGTACAAAAATAAAAAAATTGTTTTAAAAAACAGTAACAAAGCCGTCCCAAATGAAGCCTTAGTCATAACATTCATGAATACATGAATTTAATAATTTTTTTTTTTATGTAAATTTCATGTGATACATTCATATGTGAGTGATTTTCTGCAAGCTTAGACATGGAAGGAAGGGATGGATGTTATTATTTCAACATTCTTTGATGCTATCAACACCTATGGCTTATGCTAACAGCTAACTTAATTATAGTTTAATTATATTACCTTAACAAGCCAAAGAGTCATTAAGAGAACCCTCGCATGTGCTCTGCTTTATACTGATGGATGATGTGAAAGGCAGCTAGGTAGATGCCTTTTCTCTTGCCAGTCAGGGAGATTAATGGTGGAAATTTATTAAAATTCGGTTGGGCAGATTATTTAATTAAAAGTGGTAGGCACTTCCTCTAATTCAGTACTGGAGCATTCACTATTCTTTTATTTCACCTAGGACTAATTAATTGATTATGGGTGTAGCATTTTATAAAATTAAATAAGAAAAAAAATTTAATGTTATGATTGTAAAAAGCTATTTTTTATCATAGAAATTTTTGAAAAGTGGTAAAAAGCACTTGCCTATAATTTGTGATTTCTATGTGAAAAGCAAAGTAGTTAGTAAGTTGTCACAAAAAGGATTTATTATTATGTGCGGTGTGCAGAGGGTGTCCGGAGATTAATAAAAATGCGTAACGTCACTCCATTGGTGGGTATTCGCACTCGGTATCGTTGGTGGGTACCCGGTGTTTAACCGGACGATTTTCTCGTCCGGTGTCCGTACAGAATAAAAGCTCGACAAAAAAACCCGATAGCTAAACTAGATTATGCACTTGTATTTTATAATACTGAGATGGACATCTTTTATATTGCACTTATGCTACATTTTTGAAATGCATCATTTATGTATCCAATTATATATATATATATATATTACTTTTCTCTTAGAAATATGATACAAAATGAGTATATATGTAAAAAGGTTAGAGTAACTCCAGTAGAAGATAATTTTAGAGAAAGTTCTCTTAGATGTTTTGTTCACATAAAACAGCGACCTTCCGATGACTCGGGTAGAAAAATAGGCGTATTGGATTTGACTTATATTAAGAAAGGTAGAGGTAGACCTAAAAAAAGTTGGTTAGAAAGTATTAGAAATGACCTTTCTTTATTAGCTTAAAATGAGAATTTGACTCTTAACAAGACACAATGGTAAAAAAAATTCACGTAGCCGACCCCACAGTGGATAAAGGCTTGATGTTGTCATTGTTGTTGTTGCTGCCGCCGCTAAAAAGTTCCTTTCCTTCATGATCATCATTGAGGATTTTTATTTGGTTCGGTTGACCGGATGCAAGAAGCATCCGGTCGTAGGCAAAAAAAACGCGGTACCGAGGTGTACCGAGTTTTTCAAAAAACTCGGTACACCTCGGTACCGAGTTTTTTTTGGCTAAGACCGGATGCTTCTCTGCATCCGGTCGGAGGATGTAATAATTGTTCCATCAATTGAACGCTCCTTAAGAAAAGCAAAATGACTTCCATAAACATTTTCTTTTCGCTAAATAATGACATAAATGCTCATATTCATTGCCTCTTTTCAAACATGTATCAGATGTCAAACAACCAAGTCTTTACTAAAAACCATGACGAGATAGACTTTGAGCTACTTGGACATGAGAAGCAGAAGGAATGGGTGCTCCAAACCAACATCTATGCCAATGGCAGCGTAAGCACTGGCCGTGAGGAGAAATTCTATCTGTGGTTTGATCCCACAGAAGAATTCCACCAATACAGCATCTTGTGGAATGATCATCACATTGTGTTGAGTTCTTCACCTTCTTCGAAGAAAAATAAGCATAAGGCTTCGTTTGGGATGACTTTCTTACTGCTTCTTAAAGCAGCTTTCTAGTACAAAAATTATTTTTTTATACTAAAAAGCTGCTTTAAGAAACAGTGAAAAAGCCGTTCCAAATGAAGCCTAAATGTAAAGAGAAATCACTGATCATTTAACAATCTGTCTATACAGGTTTCTAGTTGACAACATTCCTGTGAGAGAAGTGATCCACAGTGAAGCCATGGCAGCCTATCCATCCAAGCCAATGAGTCTTTACTCGACCATATGGGATGGATCAGATTGGGCAACACATGGAGGCAATAAGCCAATCAACTACAACTATGCTCCATTTGTGGCCTCATTCAAAGGCTTTGAGCTACAGGGTTCCGCGTCGAACCAAACCCGACCGAGTAGCGGTGTCGATCCGGTAGATGGCCAGCAGTTTGCCAAGTTGACTCAGGACCAACAATCAGGGATGGGATGGGTGAGAAATAAGTTTATGTTCTATTCATATTGCAATGATACAAAAAGGTTTAATGTGATGCCACCAGAGTGTGATGAGAGAAGCTGATATTGGGGGAGAAGGTATGGTAAAATATGAGAGGATGAGTTACTGAAAAAAAAATATATTAAAAATGCATTTATAATTGAAGATTTGTTGTCATTTTACTGCTCTTTTGCAAAAGCGCAGCAAAAGCACAACAAAAGTGCAGCAAATCTGGACTGTTCTCTCCGTCCGGTGTTCGCATAGAATAATTTCTCAATTTTTACCGGCTGATCATATGAATGTTTTTGTGAGCCATTGTAATAAATTATTTCAAATAATGTTGTGACTTGGAGTTTGACTCATCAAAAAAAAAAAATTGTCCTCTATAACTCTTTTGATAGAGTTAGTCTTGATAACTAATATGCATATCATCTTCTTTCTTGTGTATTAATTATTATAAGAAATTTCATGATTAACTAACCTTATTGCTTATCATATTGTATCTATGAGTATTAATAGTTTCAAGAAGAATGAGGGGGTTTTGTGATGAAAATGAGATGCCTTTTTTGGTGGGATTAATTATGTCTAGCTTATTTTTTAAAAAATTGATTTGTAGTTTTTGATAGAAAGAGGAGAAATTTAGAGGGTAAGGTCAAAGGAATGCCAAGACTAGTCTAGTTTGGACGAATTTAGAAGTTTAATTTAGGGAATGTGTTTTAAGTGGGGTAAATAGTTAAAAATGATGGTAAAAATTAATATAAACTTATGATTTCAAATAAATGGTAGAGTTTTGTGGTTAAAGATTTTGTAATGGTATGAAGAATAAGATTAGGTTCAAGGGTTGAATTAAATCGAGGGATTTGAAAAAGGCTTTTTTTTTTTGTAAAATATGAGTTGTGGATGACTGATCTTGAAAGATGGATAGAATGTACGACTGTACGAGAACATGATACAAATATTTAAAAAGATTAATAATAATAATAAAAAGATAACTAGCTAACCCAACAAATGATGATCAAGGCAGGCCACCAATCACTAATCAAAAGAAAATAAATTATTTCAATATTTTCATATCATTTATAAATTAAAAATTTTTCAATATATTATAGCACTATTTATAGAGTTACAATGACTATAGTAATTCAAAAATAATATAAAAATTTTGGAGGGAGAGGCAATAGTTGACTATTAATAAATGAATGTGTGAATCATTTCAATTAATTCATCTTATCTCTATTAAATGGCTAACTCCTACATATTCTCTAAGAAAAATAAAACTTTATAAATGCTAAATGTGAAATTTAAATAATAAACTCTAATTTAATTCTTTATTCATGAGTGAGCATTTACTATAGTATTTTCTTAGGCTCTTGTGTGTGCTCTTCTAGTTGAATATTTAACTTCATATTTTTAATTCAATTGATGTGCTACATCACTTAGGCAAATGATTATATTTTTTGGAGTAGGTATGATATGTCTTTATTGTTCATCTGGTTTCTGCAGCCAGTTCAGGAGCTCATGACAGACTGAGACGTTATTAGGTAGAAACATTAGCTAGTTGTTTCAGCGATTATTCTTCCTTCAAATCTGGTGAAATTATTAGATGCTGACAGCGAACATCATTCAGAACCCAATAAAAATGCGCCACATCACCCCTACTCATTACCACGGTTCGGTAATGCTCGGTACTGAATGACGTGACTGTACATGATTCGCTTAAAGGATACTGAAAGTATTTCTGCATAGCTTCTTTCATATATGTTGGATGATATGAAAGTTGTTAAAAAAAATATTCTACACACAACCAAGAAGCTAGTTGTGAAAGTGTTGTTAAATGTTCCTTGCAGCTAAAGCCTTATTTGGCTAAATTAATTAATGCAAATGATGCTATGTTAAGTGATTACAGAAAAATTGTTATCAAAGGACTTAATAACTTTATCTTTCTGAGACTGATTACCAAATTGGAATTGACAGATCTGTATTCTCCAACTTGAGTGTTAAATCTCAACCGGTTGTCCTCAATTATTGACCTCCTCGGAATATCCAACCCTCAAAACTTGCTTAACCTCATTAATCTGTCATAATTACACAGCAAGGGGAAAACTTGGTACCTTAAAAAAGCACAATGCAATAGAGATTGTAGCCAGAAAATCCCCCCCCCAAAAAAAGGATATATGATCACCCTTCTCAAACTTATAAACAGGATAATTCAGAAACCCATATTCTTTAAGACGGCCAAAGCATTTCTCCATTTAAAGCAGTAAAAGAAGAACATCTATGTCCTCTTGATCTTTGAGAACGTTCCAACTTCAGAGAAATAGGTGCTTTGAGTTCCACTACCTAAAAGATTACCATGGGATTGTGGGTTTGTGAGTTCAATTCCCTGCACCGGAAGAAAAATAATATGTTAGTCTGAATAGGATTCTATCACGATAAATTTTGAATGAAAGGATAACTGCTAACAGAACACAATTAAATGTGTTTATTGGATACTAACATCTTAGGCTTTGTTTGGGACGGCTTTCTAACTGCTTCATAAAGCGGCTTTATGGTACGAAAATTAAAATTTTTGTACTAGAAAGCCGCTTTAAAAAAACAGGAAGAAAGCCGTCCCAAATGAAGCCTTATTCATAGTGGTTATAAAATTCTAGATATTTGCCTAGTTGTAGATATTTGTCTATTTTAGTCTCGACAAATTTTCATATTTCCTACCTAAATCAATCTATATGTATTGCTAGGTATTAAATACTTTCCAAGGAATGAGAAGAAATTCTTCCAACTCTTCTGTTCTCCACATAGTATCAAAGCCTGAGCGATTGTAATCTTGTCTATCTTTCGCAACCTTTATTGTTGCAAGCATCCTCTCTAAACGCAGTATTCATTGTTGATGGTACTTTTCCTTTATCGCTGCTGCATCTAAGCAACTGCAATGTTTCCAGAATCCATCATCCTTCTTTTCTGTGATTCCAGTTGCACTCATTCATGAAGGATAAGAAAAAAAAGTCTCTAGTGAAGAGATCTAAAACTCAAAAAACTTGATAGGATCCCTTAAGAAGAAACCTTCCAATATATATTCATTAGCACTTTCAGGTAAGTCTTCATTTCCTCATGGGTTGCATATCTGATAAAATCGTTCAAGCAACTCTGGGATGATAGACTCGAGGTCTACAAATCACATGAATCACACTCTCAATATCAGCACTTACACTAAATGCCCCAGTAGTAAGAATATTATCGTTGCAGAAAATTCTCTCGCCATAGTTGTAGGGCTAAGAGATATCCATGCTATGCGTCTCTAACTCAAGAAAATTTCCATGTTCCTAAACTAACAGCAAATCTTTTTCAATTCAAAAGCATGCAGAAAATCTAAAATGCTGTGCAATTTTTTTATCCTTATTGATCAGAATTTAATTCACATATAAGCTTATAAATTTAATATAATTCATTATAATATTATATTATATATGTAGATATGATCTATGATGCACTAACATTTTTCCTCAAAGAGGCGTGCAGTTTTCGACACGATACACATCCAGCATGTGTCGGACACACCGAAAAAGTGTATGATTAAGAAAATATTAAATACAAATTGGATGTCTCTGACACGTCTTAAATATTTTTTAAATTTATAACTTCTTGTATTTAAAATTTTTATTTATTTAAAACATAAAATTAAATTTCTTATTTACTATCTACAACACCAAATCAATTGGCCGCACTCAATATCTCATTCATCGAATATTCTCATTTTCATTTCTCTTTGGTGGGTCCTGAATTTGGTTTCACAACGATGTCCGATGTCATCTCAACATTGAAGTCTGCATCATTATAACATCAACATTTAAAAACCATCTCAATAGCAAAGTCCGACACAATCTTGACATTGATGCTCCATTTTAGTAATTTGTACACCCACAACTTGACACTCATCTTTGTTCGAAGTTATTTTAACATTGATGATCAACGCCCTCTCAACATCAACGACAGATGCCCTCTTGAAATCAACGCCCGATACTTACTGCATAACATCGATTCTCGACTCTCGACAACATTGTCATCTCCTCTCTCAATGACTAATACACGACATTAATGCCCAACCCTTGACATCCTAATAGTAATCATTTTAAGTACAAATTCTAATTAAATGACTTATTATTTCTAAATTCTTTTAATATTATACTTATTCAATTTTTATACATTATTTTTAAAATATTAAAATTATAATATTGTGTCCAAACCACGTCCATGTCCTATATTTTTAATAATGACATGTCACGTGTCCGTGCTGTGTCATATCCATGTCACCGTGTCTGTGCATCATAGGATATGATTTATACCTATATATATTATATATTAAATTCATATTATAAATTTATATCTATAAATTATTTATGTTAGATAATTTATTATAATAAATCAATAAATAATTAATTTTTGTAGTGAATAAGTAAATAAATAAATTTATTACATATTATTAACCCAAAAAATAAATATTATTTATATTATAAAAAATTATTTAAAAACCTGTTTAAAAATATATAATGCATGTTGTCAATTTAAGAATCTCAACTTATTTAGTCTTAAATCACTTGAGAAATTCATGTTTGCATTGTTTATTTTGTTTTTGTGTTTGCATGTTGTAAAAATTCACATGGAAAGGTGGAGCCATCTGAAGCCATGTAAAATACTTAATTGGAATTTCTTTAACAAATAATTGTTTTAGGAATTTAATTATTATTAAGAAAATAAAATAAAATAAAATAAATTTAATTTGAAGTTAATATTTTATTCTAAATATATAAAATTAATTTTTAAATCATATAAATGGTTCATTGAATCGGCCAATTCAAAAGAACCAGGATCGGTTCACCAGTTTACCGGTTGAACCGACAATCCTAGCTAGTTCACTCCTGTTTAATGTAGAAGCGGGTTTTATAATGAATCAAAGTGGTTATATGACCGGTTCAAGATTGAACTGATTGAACCAGTCAATCCGGTCTGATTTTTAAAACATGGTTATATTTATGTGTTGTGGAATGTAAGCAAGCAAAGAAATGTTGGATAGTGTTCAAGTTGTTTGGATTGCTCTACCTTACATAGAAAGGTGGACCAACAAGCCTTCTATAAACATTAGGGGTGGATCTCACTAATAAAAGAGAGTTACTAGGTTTATTTGATTGTGATATTAGTTGACAAGCTCAAGATGATGAATTTAGTACTTTGCCAATAGAACATAACTAAATCATCTAGCAACATCAAGCCTTTATCCCACTACATGAGATCAGTTACATAAATCATTTTTCTCCATTGTTCATGTCTAGAGTCAAATTTACATTTAAATCTAATAAAGAAAAGTCATTTCTAATATTTTCTAACCAAGTCGTTTTAGGTCTATCTCTACATTTCTAAACATATGTCAAATCTAATACATCTACTCTCCAAATTGGGTCATCAGAAGACCGACGTTTTATGTGACCAAACCATCCAAGGCGACTCTCTGTAATCTTATCTTCCACTGGAGCTACTCAAACATTTTCATGTATATGCTCATTTTGTATTTTGTCTCTAAGAGTAAAGCCACTCATCCACCTAAGCATCCTCATCTCTACAACACTTAACTTAATATTATGCTTCTCTTTTAATGGCCAACATTATGCACCATAAAGCATTGCCAATCTCACCACCATCTTATAGAATTTTCCCTTAAATTTGAGAGGGACTTTTCTATCACATAGAAAGCCAATGCATTCCTCCACTTCAACCATCCAACTTGAATTCTACTAATAATGTCTCCATCTATTTCACCAACACTCTAAACCATAGACTCAAGATGTCTAAAACATGTACTCTAATTGATGTATTGATCGCCCAAAGTCACAATCTCCTACTAGATCTATTACTACGAAAAATTACACTTCATATATTCAGTTTTAGATCTACTCAAATGAAAACCTTTAGATTCTAAAGTTGACCTTCGTAATTCAAGTTTACCTTGAACTCCCTCTCTAGTCTTATCAACAAGAAGAATATCATCAGCGAAAAACATACAACAGGGTACAACATCTTGCAAATGTCTAGTGAGAACATCCATGACTAAAGCAAAAAGATATGGGCTTAAGGTTGTTCCATAATGTAATCCAGTTGAAATAGGAAAATGCTTGGTCAAACCACCTTGTGTTTGAACACAAGTAATAGCTCCTGCATACATATCCTTAATGATTTGAATATAAATATTACTAACCCACTTTCTTCTGAAGAACTCTCCATGGTTCTCTTGGAATTTTATCATATGTTTTCTCTAAATCATTAAATATCATATGGAGATCCTCCTTATTCTCTCTATACTTCTCCATCAAACCTCTCAATAAATGTATAGCTTCTATAGTAGACCTATCCCACATGAATCTGAATTGATTTTGAGAAACATTAGTATCATTCCATAACCTATGCTCCATACTTTCTCCCATAGTATTAAAGTACGACACATTAACTTTATTCCTCTATAATTCGCACAATCTTATACATCACATTTATCCTTAAAAATAGGAATCAACACACTCATTCTCCACTCATCTGACATTTTTTAGTCTTCAAAATAATATTGAAAAGTTAAGTAAGCCAAAAAATTATTTCGTATCCTAAGCATTTCCACAACTTTATCAGAATATCATCAAGTCCAACAGCTTTTCCACACTTCATTTTCTTTAAAGCCTCTCTAACTTTGATTTTATTAAGACGCCGATAAAAACAAAAATTTTTATTTTTAATTTAGGGTGCTAAGGTCACTAAAGTAAATCGTATTATCACAATCTTCATCAAAAAGTTTAGCAAAATATCGCATCCACCTTTGTTGAATATCTTTTTCTAACAAAAACAATTTTTATATTCATCCTTAATGCACTTGACTTGAACTAAATCAGTAAATCCTAACTACTCCTATCTCTTTGTTTGGTTAATTTATACATATATATTTCGCTTTCCTTGGTATCTAATGAATCTTTTATATAAATCATTAAAAATTAAAATCTAGAGTGAATATGAGGAGCTATTTTCATAGTTAACATCACTAAAACATCTCTGAAAAAGAAAATCATGCGTTTGTGATAACTAGCTGAAAATGCCTTACATGAATATGATTGATGGAAAATGATCCTCGTTTTGTCATTTATAACATCTGATCTTTGTATAAATTACTTCTGATCTATTATATTATCTAATAAAATATAGTATACAAATTGTTACTCCATAATGCATTTCATATCATATGCACAAGAAATTTATACTTAATGTTAAATCATTCATGGAAGATTTGATTAGTAATCATATTATGACAACTAATAAGCATACATATTGTATTCTCCCCCATGCAATAAATTCAATTCGTATAGCAAGTTGGGCTTACTGCTTACCCTATTGTATTTGTAAGTATTTTGGTTCAAGGGAGGGTACAACTACAACTGAATTTTTTTTCATTATATTATTATTTAGATAATTTGTCCTCATTCAATATATTTTTTAGCCTTTATTACAAGGGTTTTAAGACAATTGCCCCCCCCCCCCCTTAAAAATGTTAAAATACTATGGTATTTAGGCAATTGTCCCCAATATAATTAAATACATTGTGTGATGTGTTATTATTAGGGAATGATGAACCAAATACAAAGAGAAATAGTAAATCAAAAATTGTTCCGGGGGCTGCGCCCGCAAAAATCCCCGCAGGGTGAGCCCCCGAAAATCCCTGCAGGGGTGCTGCCCCTTAACCCCGCGACATATATGTCAATAGTTACTTATAAGTTTGCCCCCACTGAAAAATATAGATAGTTCTGCCCCTTGTTGTAGATGACTTATTTGGTAATCATGATAAATAATACTTTATTAAGTTGTATTATTTCATGTCATGATTAGTTGATTACTATACGTGATTCTTTTGATGTAAATAAATTAGATGTACAATATGGTTGTGGTTAATTACTCTTGCTTATGTTTCTCTTTGATAGATTATTAGTGGTTCCATGTTAGGTTGTATATAATATGAAAGTTATGTAAATTCTTTTCAAATATATCTTAAATTTAAGAAGGATTGCAAACAGATTGATAGTGACTAAGATAGTTTAAAATACCATGAATTGAGAGTTCTCATCATGCCACAATTTGATCCAATGTTTCAAGGTTGAGTTGTGAGCAAAAGCCTCAACAGCGACCACCAAAACTATCCTGCATTCAAAATTCTTGATCTAGATGCATCGAAGAAACACCATTATTGGTCGCCAAAGACACCCATAGAACAACCTTTCACACTTCCTTTCACAACCGATCATGAAACCGTTGGCTCTTCAAAAATTCAATGCCACCACTACCATCATTTAACAAAGTTTCACTATCAACCGCCTTGAGGGGAAACTAAGAAAATAGCTCCTCTAGCCCACGATTTTTTTTCCAACAGTCCAACATTCTGCGTACTTTGCATGTCAGCTGCACTTAATTATTTATAGGGAAAATATTCTTAGTTTTGATGTAATAACAAAATAGTTGAATTAATAAAAAAAAACATTTTAAACAATCTTTAAATTTATCCAGAATTTATCTAGTTTTTATCCACGAAAGTTTTTTATTCGAATCTTGATTAGTTCAGAAACTTTGGGGGGGTGTGTAAATAACAAATATTTATCTAACCACCAATCACTTGATTCGGTGGTATTTCCTTTGATCTCACAAGAGGAGGTTCAAGGTTTCAAATCCTAGGGATGATTTCATTGTGGCGTCAAACTTGATCCTATTAATCCAAAAATCAATATTCAACTTGTTCACTTCTCCTAATTGGATCATCTAGGCCTTCTACTTACAATTTATAAATTTGATTTATTCCACTAGATAAATGAGTGATTTGATCCTCACTACTTATATAGCATATTGGAATCCATCTGGGATTCACATGGTCATTTGAAACAAGATTTGGACTATTAAATTACATTTAACATTATAATTTTCATTGCAGTTTAAATCGTGCGCTGCAAGACATGCCTAAAATTTCTTTCCCATCTTAATTGCATTCAAGAATTTAATAAACTTCATTTACCATAAAGAAACAATTATAATATTTAAACCAATACAACAACATCAAGCCTTTATCCCACTACGTGGGGTCGGCAATAATATTGAAACCAATGATCCAGATAAAGATTGTTGTAATTTAAAATAACAGTAAATATAAGGGTGAAGATAATATACTCACTTGTATAGGTGTGAATGCCAGACTTGACGTCAATCCGGATGTAGCACCACTACTTCCGTACTGTTTCTCCTTGAACCTTCAAGAATTAAAAAGTATCAACAAAACAAAGTGCCTTGCATTGACAGACATGACATAATATAGGGCAAATTTTTAAAAGGATCATAATTGATGTTTAAATTAGAAGGATCATGTTAAAAAAGAATTTAAAAAGGATCATACATGGAATAAAACGCAATTATGGATTGCACTTTCTATTAAAATGCAATCAGAAATTGCATTTTCCATTAAAACGTATTTGCATTTTATATGTAAGGAAATTTTTTTTTTTTTGGTTTTATTACCGGAGAGAAAGAGAGAGTCGGGAGAGAGAAGTCAGGAAATAGAAAGTAAGAGAGTGAGTGTTGACCTGTATACGGGAGCCAAAAAGAAAAAAAAATGTTTCTCTCATACATGTTCGGCGCCGAACTCCGCACGTCGTAGCCGCTGAAATCCCGTAAATCTAGCGACCATCATTTCACCCACGTCGTCTACACGACCCATTGGCGTCGTTAAATGGAAAAAGAAAACGAGGCCGAAGGCCTCGTTCGACTCTTTCTCGACGACTCGCTCTAGCTCCCACTCTCTCCCGCTCCGGTCCTCCAGTGCTGTGCGACTTTGTTCCTTCGACGACACTCGTTCGGAAGCAACAACAAGCTCGTCGGCTGCGAAGATAATTTTCTCCCTTCCACGCGGCTTCTCCGATTCCTTAGTGGTTGTTCGATGAAGCTCTTTCGACGACGTTCCCTTTAGGTCGGATCGGAAGTCAGACATTTGATCGGAAGCAAGAACAGGCGCTCGCTTGCTGTGGAAGGCAACTTTCTCCCTTCACACGCTACTCCGGCCTCTCCGTGGCTGTTCAACGTCGCTTCTTCGTCGATTTTCCTTCCTTGTGAATCGGAAGTTACTACATTTCGATCGGAAGCACAACGGGAGCTCGCGACTTGGCTCATTGGACGACTTTCGCCTCCTACGGATCGGAGGTTACAACATTTTGAACGGAAGCAACGTCGAGAGCTCGTCGGCAGTGAAGGTAACCATCTCCCTTACACGCAACTCCTCGGCCGAATCCCGAACAGAGAGGGTAGAGGGAGAGAGGATTTAATTTATTTTAATTAAAATTAATTTTAATTAATTTTAATTTAATTAAAATTAATTTTAATTAATTACAACCTTTTAATTAATTATAATTAATTATTATTAATTAAGTAAAGTTAATTAATATTAATTAATTCTAAATAATTAAAGATAAATATGATTAATTATTTTAATTAATTACAATAGTAGTTAATTACTTTAATTAATTATAAATGAATATAATTAATTAAAAAATATTATAGTTAATCATTAATTATAATTAATTATAATTAATGTAAAAAAAATGAATGATAAAAAAAAAGTGATTGCTCCTCCTTCCTCAGTCCACGAGCCTTCTCCTACCTCGATGCACGCTACCCTCTTGCCTCGATCTACGAGCCTCCTCGATGGTCTGTAAGGTATAATTTCTGACTTAAATCACATCCTCGACGTTGCAGCGGACCGGGGAACCACCTATACGCGCTCTTGTAGCACGGTAGGTAGCAAGTTTACTTTGGGCAACTGACACGCGCAACCTCCCACTTCCTGCCTGACCAAGCATGCCATACCCCTCACCCAAGCCATCACCTAGCAATATAAAAATAAATGTCATTTGAAGATCTAAAATGTTCGCGTAGAATTGACATCAACATGGGCCACAAAGGAAAATAGCCGAAGGCAAAATGAAGAGAAACAAAGAAGAAAGAAGAAAATGGCTATCCAAAAAAAGAACATGGCTATCTAGGCACATATTTTTTATTATAATAAGTGGTGAGAAATCCATTAAGTCATGTACAGTAAAACATGATAGCATTTATTTGTAGGATAAGAATCAAGTATGAATATTACTAGTGGGAAAAAAGCCCTCGCGTACAGGAACAAAAAAGGTGATATTTTTTAAGAGGCAAAATCATGAATCAAATAGCCTGCCCTTCAGCAAATGATAAGCTTCATCAGTTTCCATATAGTTAGTGCCCAAGTCTAGGAAGATTTAAATAAACTAAAATACGAATGTTTTTAAGATATATTAGCTTCTTTTCGTTATAAATGCCATAGACCAAAGTTATACGCACTAAGAAAAAGGGGTGACACGAAATGAAAAAACTCCTTGGAGACAATAATTAAGTTCCTCAGCTGAAATGTCAAAATGTAAGGAAATATTTGCATAATGCAACATACACCCTTTATTTGAAGAGGGCTTAAGATCGTAAATTACTTCCTCGCAAGGAATATATTCAATTTCATGAACTTAAAATAATTGAACATCACGACTAAATAAAAAACTGATCCAAGAAGTGAAAAAACGTGATTCATAAAAAACATTTTGAAAGTAGGAATAAAATGAAAATTTTTATCCAAAAATAGGAAAGCATGCATGTAATTCAAAATAGAGATCGATGCATTCATTCTGCAGCTTGAGTTTTTAATGCTTAAGCCAACCAAGAAACCACAAGCTCCATAAAAAATGTAAGCTTCAAACTCATTTAGCTTTAAGCCCATAGCTTCGAAGGGTTTTGGAAGACTTACTTTGATATCCAAAAAAATTGAACTTTAAAGTAAGTTTTCTGCAGACAATGATTACTACTTTAGCATATATACAAGGAAGGTAGTTCTGGCTAGCACATAATCAGCTTAAAACAATTATCGGGAAAGTATGTTATAAACATTCTGATAAAATCAGACAGAGCAACAAATACCCAAAGGTAGTCCTAATGCAAACGGAAGTTGCTCTATGATACTCCTAGCTTTTGAAGTTCAGGCCATCTAATCGAAAAAGCTATTTGTAAGAATGAAAACCTTAAACCATCAGCTATAGAGTCTTTCATTTGTACCAACCTAGTGAACTCTCTTCTGGAATTCCAAATAGCATTCTGTTTGCTAGCTTCCTCATATCAGTAACAGCATATCTACAAAATGCAAAGTTCAACAAGCACGATCATCAACGTTTAGAATGAATTAACTATCTAAAGAATTTAAATTTCTTATGTAGTCACCTTTCTTTCATCTTTCTTAGCCGACGACCACCTCTTTTTTTCTTTGGTTCGGAGTCTGGAACAGGTAGGGGCTTCGGCTGCTTTGCAGGGGGTGGCTCTTGCCACTTTTCAATCTTTTTACGAATCTCTTCTCGTAAGTTTCTTCCAGTCTTCCCAGTTGGATCTCCTCTTATTGAATCTACTCTGGCTGCCAGGGTTGATTTTGCAGCCAGAAGTCTGCAAGCACGTGTCCTCAAAGAAGGAGGAGTGCTCTGGAAAATCTCTGCTTGTTCAAGATAGCCAACACGAAACTGTGAGGTTGCAGTTGAAAAACCAGCAAGATTTTTTTTCTTTGCCCCAAGGAGTTGTACATTGCATGCTGGCATTTTCGCTAAAGCAGATAAACCGCCAGCAGTTCCCATAAGCTTTGCTGCAACAGCACTTCCAACAATGACAGAAAGATTTGGTGCTATGTATCCCATTCTACTCTCAACAAAATCCAGTACCTTTTTCTTTGCTAAATCAAGAGCAAGGGCTCGATCACATGCATCAATTGTTTTATTCAAGACATCATCAGGAAGACGCTTACCACTGGTAGTTGATGCAGTGACAGAAACTACCATAATAATAGCCGAGGGTAAAAGCCCTTCCAAGTCCACAAGAGTTAAGTCCATCTCATTTCCAATCTTTTTAACCAACCTAGCATAATCAATAGGGTGATTCACAAGAGATTCGAGTTCAGGGAACTTCATCCTGTATTTGTCACGTATGAAATTATGAATAATGATAATTTCGTTTTCAATGTCCACTGATAAACCATTACAATCCACAATAAGCTGATATTCGGGATCATCCTCTAAAACCATCCCTTGACCAGAAATATCTGATCCTTTCTGCAGCGCTTCTTCAACTTTCTGTGATTAAGATAACAGACAAAAGCATCTTGAGAAAGACAGAATGCTCATCAAAATTTAGTAGGCAAAGCGAGCCCGATGCAAGGGGTACATTTCTATCACATAGAATTTTCCCTTAAGTTTGAGGGGTACATTTCTATCACATAGCAAGCCCGATGCATTCCTTCACTTCAACCATCCAACTTGAATTCCGCTGATAATATCCCCATCTATTTCACCATCACTCTGAACAATAGATCTAAGATATCTAAAACGTGTACTCTTATTAATGACTTGATCGCCCAAAGTCACAATCCCCTCACTAGGTCTATTACTACTAAAATTACACTTCATATATTCCGTTTTAGATCTACTCAAGCGAAAACCTTTAGACTATACGGTTGACCTCCATAATTCAAGTTTACCTTCAACTCCCTCTCTAGTCTTATCAACAAGAAGAATATCATCAGCAAAAAGCATACACCAAGGTACATCCTCTTGCAAATGTCTAGTGAGAACATCCATGATTAAAGCAAAAAGATATGGGCTTAAGGCTGATCCTTGATGTAACCCAACCAAAATAGGGAAATACTTGGTCAATCCACCTTGTGTTTGAACACAAGTAATAGCTCCTGCATCCATATCTTTAATGATTTAAATATAAGCATTATTGACTCCTTTCTTTTCAAGAACTCTCCATAGCACTTCTCTTGGAACTTTATCATATGCTTTTTCTAAATCAATAAGTATCATACGTAGATCCTCCTTATTTACTCTATATTTCTCCATCAAACCTCTTAATAAATGTATGGCTTCCATAGTCGACCTACCCGGCATGAATCCAAACTGATTTTGAGAAACATCAGTATCACATCGCAACCTATGCTCCATAACTCGCTCCCATAGTTTTAAAGTATGACACATTAACTTAATACCTCTATAATTCGCATAATCTTGTGCATCACCTTTATTCTTAAAAATAGGAATTAACACACTCATTCTCCACTCATTTGGCATCTTTTTAGTCTTCAAAATAGTATTAAAAAGTTTAGTAAGTCAAGAAATTCCTTCATCTCCTAAGCAATAAGAAAATCCTTCATCTCAAAATAGTATTAAAAAGTTAAGAAATTCCTTCATCTTTTTGGTCTACCAGGCATGAAGAAAATCAATAATGGATAAAAATAAATAAATAAGGCAAGAAAAATGAATTGATACCAACAAAAGACAAATTGGTCAAGAAAAGACAGTTTTGAAGAAAGGGGAGCTATCTGATTTTAAAAGGATCATTAACGAAGCCCTGGGGTAGCAACAAGCGTAAGGCGGCAGGTGCATACCAAAATCTAGTTTACTAATTTGAAGCTAATTGAAGGAAGTGATAAACATAAGATGTACAAAGATCAATGCCATCTTACTTCCATAATATCATTATATCTTTGAGTTTTCTGCAATTTAGAAACACTATCAAGTTCATCATAATTGAGTGCTTCCAGGTCATCCATATCATCATCTCCATCTTCTTCCATGTCACCAACTTCCGCTTCATCTTCATCCTAAGCAAAGGAAATATAAATACTATAAAATAACAATTCAAGATGCCAAAAATGAAGGAAGACTTATTAAAAAAGCAGAATTATAAACCCAAAAACGTAAATTCCCAATTAGAAATAGGTGAACAGCCTTGTCAGGTAAATATATCTACTCACAGGAACAGGAGCCTCATCGTCAGATAACTCTTCAAGATCAGCCAAGAAAGAATCAGCAAGATTAGCCTGAAGAAGAAAAATCAAAAGCAAACAAGTCAAAATTCAAAGCATCGAATAACAATAATCACTGCTAATTTGAATTAAAAGGTTAGCATTATTTTAAGAAGAAGATTCATATAAACTTACTCAAATATGACAATCATTTACTCCTACAATCAAGAGAGTTTATCATTATGAAAGTTCAATTTGTCCCTAACATTGTCAGAAAGGTTACCATTATTGAAGGGAAAGGAATACAACTCAATCACTGTGTAAATCACCACTGAAGTCTCAGATATTTTCTACTTCAACATTCATAGGAATGCTACTTTTGACAGCACTCAGAAGTTTGGAATAAGTACCCAAAAAATTGGTTTTGCAACTAAATCTCAACCCTCAGCAACCTTTTTTCTATTTGAAGCCTAAACACTCTAATAATGACATCCTCTCTGAACATCTTAAATATTTATCTTTCTTCCAAAAAAAATTATCCAATGTAAAAGTTGTCCAGGAGGCTCTGAAGGCAACAGAAGGTTCAATCCATCATCAGGTTGGAGTTGTCAATTAAATACGGCAAGGCTACACCACAATACCACATCAGGAGTACAACAGTATAGGCAGCCACATTGAAAGTTACACTGGGGCCATAAGGGGACCAGTCACATGAAGAATCCACTAGCAGTCCAAGAGAATTAGATATAAGAAATTTTGGAAAAGATATATTATGGCAATGATAAACTGAATTATATTCAGTGTCTAGAATATAACATCAAAATTATATTTTCGGTCCCAATACCAGATGAGAAAGATTGAAGAATGGCATTAGACCAACCAATCATAAACTTAATACTAATTTAATTTTTTCCATTGTTTGGCGTTCCTTGGAAGAGACCTTATGTAGGCAAGGATTTGCTAAGATATCACATTTAAGTGCTGCACCATAGCTCAGTCCAAATGAAGTGACACTTAAATGTTCGCTCAAGAAAAATGGCGCACAAGCATGAATCCCACTTTACATACATAGGATTCCATTCTCCTTCAGGTAGATTATGGTTAACCAGATTTTCCCTCAGAGTAATATCAGAGATTAGCAAGAACTAGGTCCTTACTTCCTATAAGCGCAAGCCCTCATAGTTAATTACCCTTTTTACTGTGTAAGAGAGAACTCTCGATTAAGGAAGAATAATTTTAGGTGTTTTAGTCTCATTTATGGGGGATGAAACTAAACCCAATCAAGATCCCATGATTCTGTCATCCTAAGAATACCGTAGATTTCAGTCTAACAATACTAGTGATCGTTGATCGTAGTGTCCAGAAAATTTGATTAACAACTATGAGTTGCCTCCTCTAAGGGATCTTGAGTTAACTAAAGTAGTTAGATATGAGTTGTAGCTTTAAAAGATGGTTTGAGGTTTACATCTATTAGAAAACCCAATAGTAGATTTAGTTTGGGATTTATGACTTCGTTTAGAAGTTACCCGATTAATTGAATTGGTTCGAAGCTTACGGCTTCCATTAGAAGTAGCAATTTTAGAAGTGGGTCTTACGACTTTCATTGAAAGTAGCCTGTAGATTTTTAGAAATGGGTTTTACGGCTTTCATTGAAAGTAGCCCGGATGTTTGGTTGACGGTTCCTCATTTCTTGTAGAGGTTTTTTAAATAGCAGGTCTTACAATTTCCCTTGAAAGATGCCTGGCTATTTTGACAGGTCTTATGGCTTCTGGATTTAGAGGTAGCCTAATGATGGGTCTTACAGCCTAGCCTTTATAAGTTAAATGACCCGTTGATTTTTGTTTGTATAGGTCTAATGACTTCCCTAAAAAATTGTTGGGCTTTTTTTTTTTGGATTTTAGGGATTTTACTTAGAAGTTTTCCTAGCGTGTGGGTCATACTGCTTCATTTAGAAGTTGCCCGTTAGGTTTAGTTTTGAGGTAGGTCTTACAGCTTCTGCATTTAGAAGTGGCATGTTAGGTGGATCTTACAACCTAGCCCTACAGGCTCAATGGCTTGTTGGTTATGACTTCCTTGGAAGTTGTCTGGCTATTTTTGGGTTTTAGGAATTTTACTAAAGTTTTCCTAACGTATGAGTCTTATTGCTTCATTTAAAGTAGCCTGATATTTCAATTGTAGGTGCATTACTTCTAGTAGAAGTTTCTCGAATAGCAGATCTTACGAATTCCCTTGGAAGATGCCTGACTATTTTGGTAGGTCTTAAGGCCTCTGTGTTTTGAAGTAGCCTGAAAGTGAATCTTACAACCTAACCCTATAAGTTAAGCGGCCCGAAAGTTTGGATTGTATAGAACTTACTACTTTCCTTAGAAGTTGTCTGCTATTTCAGTTGTTTATTATTCTGGCACTAGACTTTTTTTTTTTAAGTTGCATGCTAGCATGACACTAGTGTTTGTGTTACAGTAGTTTCCTTTTTTATCACTCACACCCTATTATGTTCATTTATGATGGGGGCTTTCTCTATCAACTCTTGGGGGAAACAAATCCCTCACATTGAGGATGAAATAAAATAAATAGCCAAAGCATTACGTTCCAATTGATATGAAGGAATTTGTTACTCCGGCTCCCTCTATGGGTAGAAGGCATCCACCCAGTTCAAAAGAACTGAGCCCAACAGAAAACCTGGGCAGAAACAGGGAGGGGATTTCAGCCCCTCCTGTTAGGCCAAGGAGAGTTGTAATTCAAAATGGAATGAGGAGAAATATAGTGAGAGATATTTAGGAAGGTTTTTCTTAAAATTAGGAGGGAATTATTTAGAGAAAGAGTTCCAAATTAAATTCAAATTAGATAGGAAATCATTTGGGAAAAGCAGACTGATTTTGGAGGGAGTTAGGATAGCCTATTTAGGACTAATTATGTTGTATTTTGAGTTGATGCAAGTTATTTTTCTTCTGTAGCTTTTCTCTAGGTGAGTTTCCTAGCGGCGTCTAGGGTTTGTGGAGAGTCGATCTACCTCTCGAATATAAGATCAATTTTATCTTTCATTATTGTTTAAGTATTAATCAAAATCAGCCATTATCTTCAAATTCATACAGTTTTCTACATGTTATCTTGTTGTTTTTACTTCCAAAATGCATCAGAATTCAAACTCCATTAAAATCTCTCATTTGAATTCCTAAAAATTCTTAAAGCAGTGTTCCCTACCTCCTTCAACCAAGAACCATATAGAAGTTGTCTATCTCCAACACTTAAGCCTAGGAAAATTCCTTCCAATCTAACCGCGTGATTTTAGGCACCTAAATCAATTCTATGCTATTTTTGAAATCATGACATTTGATTCACATGAACCCACAAATAACCTTAAATAAATGTTCAAGAACCCCTAAATCCAACATTACACTTTCTAAATCCAACAGTACACTTTCGACGGCCCTAAACCTTTATTTCTTCCATTCAAGGTAGTTTGAAAGTATTAAACAAATTTGAATTAGGCTCAATCCAATGTATTAAACAAAAAATAATCATCATTTAGTTTGTAGATGTACACTATATTACACCATACAAAGAACTCAACTTTTGTAGCATAATTTTTCAAGGAAATATGCATATAAAAATAACCAAAAAGGCATTCAAGACTCAATTAGGTGGGCTTTCTAAAGTCAAATCCCAAGTTTAACGGAATTGTTAACTGGGACTAGTTCTAGCTTGATATACCATAAAATCAAATATTAGAAGGCCCAAATGAGGTAGATCCTTGTGCCCATGAACACGTTCTCTCCACAAAACTCGTGCACTATTTGATAAGGCATTCTATATGGTAATTAAATATATTTATTCTGGTTCGTTATGTCAAAATAGATAGCATTAATGTGTTATTTATTGGAGGTAGAAAATTTTATAAAATATTTCTTGTCCTCTTTAGGGTTGGTTGTGTGTTTAGATGCAATAACAAGAAAAAATATATGTATTTCTCAACAAAAGAAAAGCTACTAAGATAAAATTTGATAGCTGAATTGTAAGATATTATTACCATCATCATTAGCTTTATCACAATTATTTCAATTAAATTAATTGCATTGCTAATATGCCAAACTTGATGATAATCCAAAGTTCCTTTCTTTGTCCATCCATCTACCACCAATATGATAAACTCCACAAAAGGTTTTGCTAATAAAAATGAGTAAACTGTCATAAAGCTTTATGTTGGAAATACACCATTTTGAATATGCAAACGAAAGGTGTGCATTAGTTGTGACTGAAAGAAACAACCCATTTCTAGATAAATAGTACACTAAAAAACAACATCTACGATAATTAAAGTTTCTTGTTAAAAAGCAACAGCCCGAAGGCTTATCCCTACCAAACACTACTCTAAACCTCAAATTTTTGCTATCAATACCTAGTATTGGCAGCTTGCACAACTAACATTAAGAATTATAGGAAAAAAGTGTGCCTGAAAATTATATATCCTTTCTTAAATACTTCATAAGCCACGAGAAGAAAGCTTTTTTTTTTTTTTCTCAACCATTAAATTATTTTTCCTACGCACTAAAACATGCATAGATCAATATCAGCTTAATTTAATGAAAATAAATGATTTTTCCAAACTAAAAATATATAGACTAACCATTACTTGGTTTTTCCAATTTCGCACAAACAAGCCTTAAATTCAACTTCTATCTGCAAAACTAGAAGAAAAAGAAATCAGTAAATGTAGCAACCTGACATTATATAAGTAACATAGTTGAATGAAAAGGCACATCTAAAAATCATAGCTTCATCAAATATAAGCATTAATAAGCTTAAAATCAATATAAAACCAAACGGAACCGTGTTGTAGAATAATTTAAAACCGAATAGGAGCAGCCTTTTTAATTGTTTAAAACATGAACCAAACCCCACTCAGCAAACTCTTTCAAAAGCCGAATTAGTCATAAATAAATAAATGACTTATTAGAACTAAATAAATAAATACATTATCAGTTAATTAACTACCTCGAATCCTGAACTAATCGCTTCATATCGTTGAACACAAATTAAATTTGAATTTTTAAAGAACTAAAGGTCATACATGCTGAGTTATGTTATCAAATATTTCACAGGACTTATTAAAACTTAACATTTTTTGTCAGATAATTTTTAGAATTTAACAATCTCAGAATTTAGTAAATTCATATTTATAAGATTCATTTAAACCTGCTCAAGAGTTAAATCCTACTCGTTGCCAAACAACCTCTAATAAGTTTAAGAGAGACAAGCCTAGTATTAAAGTATTGTTTTATATTGTTTCTAACGTGGTATAGCTTAAAAGTATTTTCAATTTTACCTTACTCCATATAAATTAGTAATTTAATGATTAAGGCTTTGTTTAAGATAGTTTTGAGCCATTACTCTTTCGCTACTTTTAAAAAAATTATACTATAAAACCACTACAAAAAATAATAAAAAATTTGTCCCAAATGAAACCCAAGCCTCTATCTTGAACTATCTAACTACCCACACCAGAAGAATTTATTATATTCAAAATACATATTTGACTCCATATATTCAGCCAAAAAAGTTTTGATAGCTTCCATTGAATCACTAAATCTCATGGAGAGTCCATCTAAAGTTTTTAACTATAACCTGATAAATAGCCTGATTTTATTTAAAATTCTTCCTCCACCTCCCCACCAGCATAAATCACCAGGATATGCAAGAAATATGACGGAATTACTATGTTATGCTTCTTCTTGCTTGCCAGCCAGAGAATATGATAGTTGTTTCACCATTTTCATACCCCGTCAACATATTGGTCGGATGGTCTCATTGTTGAAAAAATCTTACTCTCCTCCCCTTGTTTTATTGTTAACAACTTATTTCTTCCTGTATTTTTAGGGCTTGTTTGGACTTTGGATGCAGGATTTAGGCCAGAATTTAGGCAAGATTTAAGCTAAATCCTGCTAAAAGCCAAAATCTACAAAGTTAAACCTCACGGTAAGTCTAATCTCTACTTCACGGCGTTTTCGCCATTTTTGCCCTAAATGCCGGATTTTGTAAAGCCAACTTTTTGCGGATTTCGTAATTCCGACCGAAGAAGCGCGCGAAAGGGGAGAAATATCGTTACCTTCCCGGCGAGTTCCCGGCCCGACTTCCCATCCGACCTGAAAAACGTCTAAGGAGGCGGAGAAGCTTCGACTCTTTTAGAACTCTACTTCAGGCGAAGCAGCAAAGCAACGGATAAATATAAAAGAGGAAAATAAAAGATTCAGCGTGTCGCGAAGCCCAACTCTCCTTAAACACGCAATACCATTGATCCCGTCGATTCCTTCTCCGGCGAGCTCCCGTCGCGACTTCCTTGCTTCTCGATGGTCGAGGTATCCTGAATTTGGGGGCTGTTTAGTATCGGATTTACAGCGGGATTTAAGTCGGATTTACGCTAAATCCAGCCAAACGGTTTTTCTGTGCGCGTTAAATCCCCGCGATGGGTAAATCCCGGATTTAAGGATTTACGGATTAAATCCCTGATTACTAAATCCCTCGGTTCGGCGGATTTATGGGATTTGGGCGAAGAAGCGCGCCAAAGGTAGAAAGTTACCTACACAGCCAGAGAGCTCCCGTTGTTGCTTCCGATCAAAATGTCGTCGAAGGAGCGAAGTTGAACAACCACGAAGGAGCCGAAGAAGCGAAGCGTGCAATCTCTACACCTCCTGGGAAGCAACCAAGCCGAACAGCAACGACGAAATGAGAAGATGAAACGCAAACCTAGACGCCTCTAAGGGCATCTCCAACCGAAAAACTCATTTCTCACTCCAAAATGCAGTAAAACTCCAAAATACAGTAACTCGACTCCAATCGAACTTCATTTTCTAACATGAAAAAAGGAATATTCCTAGCATATTATTTTTCTTATTTTATTTTAAATTTTTTTAATCATATATTTATATTTATCAATTTTAAAGCTATTATAATTTTAAAAATTATGTTTTTTTACATATTAATTTTTTTTTATAAATTTATATTTTAATTTATAATCATCTTCTTCCCATTTAAATTTCTAATTGCCATAAATCAAGAAATATGTTACCAAAGTTTCTCGAAATTTAACATTTTTCATATCAAACAATTTTTAGAATTTACTAAAACTAGTTTTATAGGATTTATTAAATCCCAATAAATTTAAATCTCACTTGTTGCCAAACAGGCTAAACAGCCCCCTTGAAAGATGTCAAATTATTTTGCGTGGTCAACAGCCGAGGGTAATAAGTAGGGCCCATGTCATCAACATGTTGGTATAGTAATTGGGTGATATGAGTATATGAAACATCCACCGCACATAATAATTTCGCGTGAAAGATGGCACACTGCGATAAATAAAATTGTGAAAATCGAACGGATGAAGTAGAGGCTTACAGTCGACTAGTGGAAACTCAGAGATGGTGAGATCGAGTGTTCTGAGAGATGAAATGCATGGCATATAGCTTACTTAGGGCAGACGTTTGAGGTAAATTAATTCCCTAATTAATCTAAGCCATTCAATGTTAGATGGACGACTGTGATTTGTGTTTTTAAGAACTAGCCGATTATTCTAAAACTGCCAAATTCTACAATTTGACGGTTCAATTGGGTTCTTAGCCTGTTTTTTGTCGGTTCATTGTTTGCTCAGTCACTTCAGCCAATCAGACCAACCACCGGACTGGTTCATGGTTGAACCGACTAGTTTGATCCGATTTTTAAAACCTCGGATAAATCTATAATTTGTAATTTATTATTTTATTTTGTAAATCTAAATTAATATTATTAAATTTTTATGTATATATATAGTAATTTATAAGTATGTATGTCCATGCCCAGTAATATTATTTGTATAAACTTCCATAAATTTTTTTTTAATATTAAGGTTTTAATTAAATAAGATATATTAACTAAAAAATTTAATCATAAAAATTAATATTAGTTAGTTAAATAACTTTTTTTAAATTTTTTTTGCAAAAAAGTTTATTCATCATGAAAGAATAAAATATAGTTAAATTGTTTGCAATTCATCAAAACAATGCAAGGGATCATAAGTCTATAGCAAACTATTAAATTCTCACTAAACATGTAATTCACATCAATTTTGAGAATTTGTTGTACAAATTAGATAGGATTGAAATCTAAAAAACTGTCACAAATGAATCCTTAAGGTGACGAGTTGATTTTTAGTCACTCTTAAAATTTATAGGAGTTCCATATATTTCATATTTGCTATTAAGATCATTTCCAACCAAACTGTATACGGTGATATTCAATTCGTCATTTGCTCCGTTCGAACGCTGAATGGCATGTCAAAATTCGGTAGATGAATATTGCGACGCCAATTGTAATTTTTTATGTTACAAGATTTGTCGATAAGCACGCGAAAGATGAAGAAGAGGGCGAAAGAGGAGAAAGAAATGGAATTCAATTGGATATGCATTACTGCACTTTGGAGTTTTATTGTATTTTGGAGTGTAAAATGGGGTTTTTGGTTAGTAATGCCCTAGTAACCATATATTGTATAATTTAATCCTTATTGATTTGATTATAATAAAAATTATTTAATATTATCAAATATTTATTATACCTCAAGGATCAAGTGCTTTGACATATTCTTAATATCTGAATGATTATGATCTATTTGCAAACAAATTCTTTTCAACCCACCAAATTTATTTAAGATTTAGAGTCTTTTTGGGATTGCTGCAGTATTTTATAAAGTTGGTTGTGAAATTACAGTGGAGAAAACAGCTTTGTTATTATGATTGTAAAAAATAACTTTTCATCATAAAAACTTTTGAGAAAGCAATAATCAAACAAAATTATAATTATTGTCTAAAAAACAAAATAGCCAAAAAGCTATTCCAAAAATATCCTTAATTATAAATTAATATAATATACACATCATTATTTTTTTTTGGCACGATTAATTGCACAAAAACCAAGGTTGCTTTATGGGTTGTGCATAATATGTAGGTTTAAATAGAAGAGTTTTCAAAGAATTTTAGACACCCAACTTTTACAATTTAAGGTTTCGTTTGGGATATCTTTTGAATTGCTTTTTAAAACGGCTTTCTTATACAAAAATTTCAAATTCAAGAAATATTTATAATAAAAGTTTAATAGAGCTTTCGTTACACTTATTTTCTAAAATAAATGAATATAAATTGAACAAAACTTTTTAGCACATTTACTAAGCATGACAAATATAAACAAGAAGCTAAATTGGTGGATAGACTTAAAGGGGTTGATCTTAGTATATTGATTTGTTATGTTATGAGTGTATATATAGGGAATGGAGTGGGAAGGGCTAGGGTTAACGTACATGGTAATGGTTGGATATTGGCTATCAAAACTTAGGAACTCAGAGAAAGCTTTTAGGTTTGAAATTTATTTGAAAGGATATAGAAGTGGGCTCAGGGCATAGGCATAATGTGGAGATTAAGACTTCATTTAGGACAATTTTCTTACTGCTTATGAAAGCAGTTTTTTAGTACAAAAAATTTATTTTTCGTACTAAAAAGTTACTTTAAGAAGCATGAATAAAGCCGTCCCAAATGAAGCCTAAGAGTTGATTGATAAGGATAAAAGAGTTCTAAAGTTTGATGGGTGATGAGCAAAATGTGTAAAGGTTTTTAGATATGGAGGAATCTAAATTAGGGTTTGTGTAGGGTGTAGAGGTCAAAAGGTTATTTTATTGGGATGTATTTTCCATGGAAGGAAGAGAGTTGGAGAGTATAAGTAATATAAATAAATATATCATATATATTATATTGTACTTTCTTGATTACAGTTGTTCTGTTCCTATTGGCTAAAACCAAATAGTTCAGTCTATATATACATGGCCTGTACTGTCGGTGATATGACATGAAATAATATTTTCTTCAAGCTTTTCTGTTTCTCCTGTTCTTCTCTTGTCATTTCTTTCTCTGCTTTATTTGTTTCTTTAGAGAGCATGTTGTTATGTTGAAGATGTAGTGAAGAAGATGACGATGATTTGATTCAATTTCTAGATAACAACAATTAAAATTAACTTAATCTCACAAAAGATTACGGGTACTTGAACACCAATTCATTGAGAAATAAATATTTGAAACATTCCTAAGTTTTATTCAATCATTCATTAATTCTTCGTTACAACTAAAAGTTCATAAAATAACCCTCTCTTACAAATTGGAGCACTAAAAAAAATCAAATTCTCTAGATTAGAGAGGTAGTTCCTTTAAAATAGGTGATTGGAGATATGATATAAATCCTTATACTTTTTACATAATAAAATGATTGAAAAATACAATAAGACCAACACATTCGACAATAGCTATTTTGACACACCAACACGTAAATTTATATGGATAACATCAGACTTACAATTACTTGACTCTCGAACATTCTAATCTTGGCACCTACCTTAGAAATGGCTTATGCAACATTGCTCCATCATGTTATGCTTGATAATATATATAGGCTAAAATGATGCTCGATCTTTCAAAAAGAAAAACCATTATTATTAATCAAGAACAAATAAATGTTCAAGATTGTGATAATTGTATATGAATCAAGTCATACAAATAACATTGACATGGATAGTCATTTTTTGGATAATTAATTTGACTTTATGATAAAAATGTACATTATATAAGTGATTGTTGTACTAAGAGAATTGATTTAGTACATATTAAGTGAGAAAGAAATGTCTCAAAGGTATGCTAATATTATTAAGATATTAATAATAGAATATTAACTTAGTATGCAAAATGTAATGAAATGACTACAAAGTTTTTAATTATAGTAATCAATAGGATTACACCAAGGATCAAACATAGAGTCTATCCCTTTGTATTGGTTATGGAGATATATTTATAAAAAAATATTACTAGTGTTCAAAGCGTTTTATATTAATGACCATTAATCAAAATTATTATAAATAAAATAATTAGAGCATCTAAAATCTTTAATATATATATAGAATGACAAATGAAAAGGGATATGACTTCCTCAATTAAATGATTAAAACAAAAAAATATCCCAAGAATTGTTTGAAAAGAGCAAATTTGGAGACTTAAGATAAATATTATAATATTGTACTCAACTAGTGACATATGAAATCAAAGTTTCGTTTGAGAGAGATTTTTATTGTTTTTTAAAGCAGTTTTTTAATATAATTTTTTAATTAAAATTTTTTATTAAAAAATTACTTTAAAAAGCTTTGAGAAAAATGTCCCAAATAAAGCCTAATGTTGAGCTGAAAAAAAAAATGGTTAATAACAAAATTAAGCATGATGAAAATAGGAGCATTAAAATGGATGCTAACATGAGAGATAAATTACAAAATATCTACTTAATGGCTGATTGGCATAATGTTTTAAAGGTCAAGTAGTTTAAATGAGAAGTACAAAGCAAGCAGAATAGAATGGTGAATAAAATTAATACTAATTTCTACTAAAAATTAAAATTGGCATGTCTTAGCATGTTATACAAATTCTTTTAATTAAAAGGGGTTAGCAGGCTACTTTGAGTCAACCAGGTGGCCAACGAGTTGGATTCAGGTCCAAATTTTTTACCAATTTATTAAACAGGTCCAATTTGATTTGAATGTGTTCAAATCGAGTCAAATTTGAATTAGATCCGACCCGTTACCTCTATTTAACACCCCTAGTCAC